GAAGCATGCAGATGTGACTTCATTGGTTTATTCCTTTTCATTTCTGAATTTATAAACCAAGCCATGGAGGGAATGTAGACAGTGACTGCTCCAACTTGAGACAAAAYGAAAATAGGTCTTGTTAAAAGAGACTTTCTGGCCTCCCAACTTCCCAGCAAATGCACCACCCCGCCCTTCATGTTGCACAGACAGTGCAACAAAATTAGGGTCCGTGTGTTTCCCCCATGAACTTGCTCAGAGAGCTTTCAGGTCCATGAGGACAGAGGGAAGAGTGTCCCAGAAAACTAAAAGGGCAATGATCCCAATGGCCTCAGGTCTCTGGACCACCTCAGCCCGAGCAGCAGGTAAAGCCACAGCACGTAGTGCATAGTTTCCCAGGTGCTGAGAAACGCCCCTCAGCATTAGACCTGGGTGGGCAAGTCTGGTTGCAGAAGCCTAGCTATCCACATGGATTGGCCACAGGTACTCACACTAGGATTGAAGACCACAGGTGAGCACGGGGCATGTGAAGACATGGAGTTTGAGGGCAGGAGCACCCAGGAACATCCGCTATATCAGTCTCATCCTCACACACCAGCAAACTCAAAACTCACCTGTGACGTCCAGGCGGAAGGAGACCCTCTGGCCCCTGGCCTCGCAGCTGTACTCCCCGGCGTCCACCTTGCCCGCCTGCTGCACCACCAGCTGCCGCCTGCAGCCAGAGGACTCCACGCGCATCTGGGAGCTCTGGCTCAGCTTCTTCCCATCCTTGTACCACGTCACCTCTGTCTGGGCCTGGGCCACCTCACAGCTCAGAGTGGCACTCGCCCCCACCTGGGCCTTCACCTCACTGTGTGCTGGCTGCCCCTTGGCAAATACAGCCTTGGGCTCTGGAACAGAGGGGAAGGACACACAAGTCAGGGACTCCAGAACAGACCCAGCCCTGTCTCACAGCCTGAGCCCGCCCCAGGAATGGCTGAGCAGAGTGTCCATCATGAGCAGAACATTGCATGGCCATGCCTAAGTTCTATCCTACACATGACACAAGCTGCAAACTCCAAGGCTAGTGGGTAGATGGCTGGGCAGCCTATCCTCATCAGAGTCCTAAGTACTTCCTGATCCACTCTGATCCTGCAGGTAACTGCATTGTCACAGCCCACAAGGCCACCACAGCCAGACCTACCTCCTGATGCCAACACCCTCCCAGCCATTGGGAATAGACCATGACCCTTCTTCTCCCTGGGACCCCAGCCTATCAGTGACTTCCCAGCTCTCCCACCACGCAGGGGGCACAAAAGCAGGTGGAGGCGGACACAGCAGGGAAGTCCACCTGAGCTCCAAACCAGAAACCCACATCTTTATTGGCAACAGATACCAAAGGAATGTAGGAGACCAGAATGCCAGTGCTGGCCAATCAGCAAAGACCTCAGAGCCTGTGCAAGCCAATCAGCAGAGAGCCAAGTACCAGCCAATCAGCACAGAGCTCAGTACCCCTATGGGCCAGTTAGCAGAGTGCTCAGTGCCAGTGTGGACCAATCAAGAGAGAGCTCAGCACCAGGCAGGGAAGAGAGCCCAGCACCAAAAGAGCCATCAAGAGAGAGGCTCTAAGCCCTGTGTGACCCCTTCCCAGGCTCAGGGGCAGGTCACAGTGGGGAGAGGGAGGAGATGGGGGAAGGACAGATGGACATGCAGGATTCCAAAGGGCCCAAGCAAGGGCTTCTGGAGCTCTGGGCCCAGCAAGTAGGCACAGGCAGGTAGAGGGAGCCCCTGCCCCTGCAGGACATGCTCCCCAGCACAAACAACCCCAGTGCCCAACTCCACCCAGAGCTGGCCACAGATGCTGAGGTCCAAGGTCAGGAAGGACACAGGCCTCACAGAGCCTAGGCTGCCACAGATGCCCTAGAGTTACCACCCTCCCTCCATTTACTCAACCCCAGCATCACCCACCTATGACATCTAGGCGGAAGGAGACCTTCTGGCCTTCGGCCTCACAGCTGTACTCCCCAGCGACCACCTTGCCCGCCTGCTGCACCACCAGCTGCCGCCTGCAGCCAGAGGCCTCCACGCGCACCTGGGAGCTCTGGCTCAGCTTCTTCCCGTCCTTATACCACGTCACCTCTGTCTGGGCCTGGGCCACCTCGCAGCTCAGAGTGGCACTCGCCCCCGCCTGGGCCTTCACCTCGATGCGTGCTAGCTGCCCCTTGGCAAACACAGCCTTGGGCTCTGGGGATAGAGGGGAGGGACGCACAGATCAGGGACACAGTACTGATATCAACCCATCTGACAGGACTAAAGCTTCAAGCTCCGTGAACTGGGTCCTCAATGAAGAGACATCATGTGTCCACTCCCATCARGCTTGTGTTCACAGAGCATTTCCTGTCTCAGAGGTCAACTTCTCATGTTGGCCATGTCCTGAGCCAAGCGCGATCTGAAGTTGGAGGGAAGAGGCTGGACCATCAACTCCCGGTCCCTGGTTCACTGTCTGCCTCGGGACAGTGGCTGCATTGGCAGGTCCWGGCTGTTCATTACCACACTCCAGGCTGACACACCTTTTCCTCTACAAACCAATCGTGACTTTCACTTCAGTGTGAGCCCACATCAAGGTATTGGCTCCACRACCTCAGGTGTTCCCATTTCCACCCAACCAGAACACACCAACTAACCTACCCAGGGGCCACACACACACAGCAGAA